TTAAGCCTAGGGTGTACCTTGGAAGTAAATGGGTGGGTGTTTATTCCAGCAGTTTATGTGGGCTTGTGATCAGGCTCACAGCGGAGTTTACCTTCTGGGTTTCTTGAACATTACAAACTGTGGAAGGTGGTTTTTCAGAATGTCTGGTGAAAATCGATAAGAGAAATGTTAGTAAGTAAATCAAATGATAGCAGTAAGCTGTCTAAGTAATAGATCTTTCTCAATAATTTCCCGCCACAAATAAATAAATGAAATAAACATATTGGCTTGCTGCACAAAAAACAAAGCTTAAGAAAAGCATTTATCTCAACTGTCGTTATCGTTCGTAAAAAGAGACATTGCGCATTAAAGTGCATCCTCGTCAGAGGCCGGATAACTATCGACATCTCATTACGACAGAAACAAGAAACGAACATGATAAATGACAAGATGAAAAAGATTATATGAATAAATTTAATAATGGTTTGAAGAACAAGATATATTCCCAGCCTAAAATGTCAAAAGAGAGAAACAACGAAATCATGCATAGTGTTAGTCAATAATCCGTGAAAGTATTTGGTCATAAACCCAAACCGTCTAAATGAAGGAATCATGATATAACCGTTTCTGCCTCTCAGATCTACCAAGATGACTTTCCTAAATATTTAGATTAGCAGATTTAGTAATGGCTCTTTGCGGTGAAATAAAAATTCATCGCTAATCTGTCAGCGGCAGGCCGTTTATTGCAGACTGTTGCACGGGTTCATTTGATATACACTCAGCGGCGTGCAGATAAGATTACAGCAACTGTGCAAAGGAAAACGATAAATAAAAACAAAAAATTGCAATCTTTTTCGACAAACACTTGCAGCTCTTTGCGAACAGCATGCCTGGAACAGAGTATGTATGCTTTCTCTTTGCTGATATCAAGTTTGATCAACTCTGCTGAAGTGCTCGCTAATGTAATAGTTTGTGTCAAATTATGTCTTCATTTCGGAATTGCTTAGATTTCACACTGTGCAATTAGTTATATTACCCTCCAAGTCAAGAAAAAATATATTTATATTACATGAACTAAAGCTCACTTTACTTATGTCAGTTGAACACGTCCATAAATCAAAAAATGCTCAATGATAGTGCTAGTTAAGTGCCAAACAATGGAGTAGTTATTGAAGCATGAAAGAGAAACATTTGGGGTATTCTATAAGACTTTTAAATATTTTTTTGAAAACAAATCTAAAGGTGTTCTTAGAGGATCCTCAAGTGTACTGTTTCCCCTTTTTCTTACGAGGACTTTTTTTAATTTCTCTTTTTATTAATTAACTTTTATTTATTTATGTTTGTATTTGTTAAGCGAAAGAATGACTTGCTCTCCAATTAAGGCCTCTCAATTTCTAAACTATCCCATGCGCCCTTGCACGTCTTGGGCTTGGAGACTTTGGGTCATCTTATCAAAAACTAGAGACAATCAAAGAGTGAGCTGCCAGAATTCTTGCTGTAGCAAAAGACAATTTTGAGCTGGATATGACGCACATAGTACTGTGTCCAAAGGCGGTTTAACAAGATTTGTTTCCATCGCCCGCCTTGTGCCCTTGTCTTATTACTCCTCACAGTGGGTCTGCTGACATTGCAACCTATCCGCCGATAATTTGTCATGAATCATTTAAGATTAAGCCAAGCTTCTATGGCAGAGACTTAATCTGGTAATAAAGAGAGCCTTTATGACATTATTCTCGTCAGAGCTCGTCCAATATAAACAAAAGCTACTTGGTTTAAGGGATATGTAGACACCGCGGTATTATCGTAGACTTTTTAAAACTTGGGTTCCCACTGCGCTTTCAGGTTTCCTAGAGAGTGATCCCATTTCAGCTTCCTGTCGAAAATTCATCTGTTTAGTTAACTATTGCTTCTTCACAAATATTCAGTTTCCTGCAAGAAACTCGTTCAGAAAACATTTCGCGCTCGATATCATTTTCGTTTGACTTGTCCCATTAAATCATCAATCGATCATCGTTGGTTTAAATGTCTGAATGACAACGAATTTACCTAGCCTAGCTTCATTTCACATAAAATAAGTGTGTGAAAACTAGCACATATGCGATTCTTAAATTTAAGGGGGCAGCTACACCTTTAAATTTGTTTAAGCGACTCCACTGATTCAAAAATTTACAATTTCTATTTTTACTTATTTTTACTTAAAAATATTTAAGAATGTCATAAATTGCCCGCGGGCCATATAGCATTAGGTCGAGCTAAACTGGAGACAGTTGTCTTTGCTATTTTTATAAATATGTCAAGTTTAAATGTGTTGAAACAGATCGTACTGCCTCAGGCAGTTCATTTTTGACGACACAAAGCATGCCAAACATTTTTTCAATAATATGTTTTTGTGTTAAAATTGCATTGAATAAATTGACCTCAATTTTATCGAGGGTCCAAATTAATTTTAAGTTTCATTAACAGAGTTTTGCTTGATTAACATTTTTGGCCTGAATTAATGATATTTACAGATGCGAGAAAATCAGATAATTGAGTTCGCTCTCTTTTAAGTCAAATAACAATACATCAAATGAGATATTCCCGATCATAATTTAACGTTAATTAACGGTTAATTTGTTGAAATTAGGATAATGAAAATGCGGAAAATCGACGTACTTTGTGACACAAACAATTTGTAGGAATCTACGCGGTACACATATTTGTACGCAATGCACAATTTACCTTTTAGAAATCAGTTCCTTCGATTTGTAGTTTCTCAATTAATAGTAAGTTAATCATAGATTCTCAAGACCGCCGACCCAGCTTGGATGAATCCATGCAGATAATCCATACTGAAAAATGTCTTAATGACGCTCCTAACAACAGATTTTTGGTCCGTTTATGCTGCTCTTCAAACTGTGATAAACAATGTTCCTAAAAACTGTTTCATCCAATAAAGTTAATTTAATCGTGTCTTAATAGCATTATATTATCACAATAGAGGAAAGTATCTGTTTAAATGGATTATTATAATTCAGTCAAGAATTGCGACATGAATTTTTGTGCATGTTATTCTGTTCTATACAAAGTGGAACTCTCAAGCCTTTCCATACCTCCGTTCCTTATCCTAAACCTCATCCTTAATATCAAAAAACTTATTTTACCTAAACGACAGCTTATTTGGAAAAAGAGGAAATAACTAGAAAAATTGGTGTTAAACATGAGAGACCTTTAAGAACTTGAACAGAGGAAATAAAGGGAACAACATAATGTTCTCGAATCAAAGAGCGCATTGCATGAGAATCTTAAGCAAGTTCCTAAACACCACAAGGCGAGAAAAAAATTGGCAGCGACATATTTGGTATGCAATGCGTTTTTCGACAAAAATTAGACAAGGATTGATTTCTTTTTTAATATCCTTTATTTATGCATTTCAAGCTTCAGTCCATATGTTTTATTTACTATACAATCATTACATATATTAAACAATTTCATATCAAATAAAGAAACTTTTTCTTTGGTTAAAATAACCCTGTAGCCCCTTTACTCGCAGATCCTCAAGAAATTTAAACTTCCCAACAAATAACTGTAGAAACTTGCGCAAGGTGACAATTTCAGTCGTGTATGCTCTGATCAGAGCTTGAAAGAATAGTCTAGACTAGTTTGGCCCTAAAATTATTTGTACACTTAATAATTAGATTGCACTCGCATCACAAGATAGCTTTCTTATATACCCATGTTTTACACCAAACTTTAGGTAACTATTTACACGTTAGCTGGAATCGAAGAATTTATCAACAATATATTATATGAGGTTTTGCCTTATATGTTTTACTTTATAGTGACGTTCTGTAAAGCCCCAGGTTGAAAAGACTCTATGTAAAATACCGTTAGTGAAGCAATTGAAACTAGCTAAATAATTACAAGATATAGAGTGGCATGTATTCATTATGTAATAACAAGATATTATAATATCTTGGTTACTAAAAATAATAAAAAGTAAATATGCAAATAAATGACTGATACAGCAAAAAAAGTTTTATATAGAAAACGAAGTTACTTTACTCATACATAGCTATTTGACCATAAATTCTGATTTCTACTTTAAAACCTTTAAGTGAAATGCGAACATTGAGCGAAAGATGTGAAAATCCAGACAAAAAAATATAAGAGAATAGCATTCAGCTGAAAATCGGAGAAAGTATTTCATACTATTAGGCTGTTGAATGTTGTTTGACAAACTTTAAGATTTGCACTTGAAACCACAATGTGTGACTATTCAAAAGGAAGAAGTCTCCTGCAAAACCTTTTATCACGCTGGGCAGGTTTTTAACTTGAAAACTTATTGTTTGAATACTAAATTACAAGTTGCTGAGCAAGTATTTCAAATCTAAAGCTTAGAATCCAAGAACTAAAATCCTGTATTACTCTGCGAAGATGATTGAACGTTAAACCTTGGACTGGAAGGTTAAACAGAGTCATTTTCGACAACAATGATCACTGAAGAACAAGGTACAATAACAAATGACTGCTACGTACGACAGCCGGAAACTACTACCGTCAAAGGGTCCAGCTTAGAAAGTCCATTAGGTTGAATCTATTCAAAAACTCATGAAAAGTAACACCAAACACTTACCAAAACGAAAACAACGAAGGCAAGTAGTAAATTACCCTACAGTATCTTTTTAGGCAAAAGTTTAAGAAATATGTAATTTCTGGCCCATAAACAATAACTCGGTGCAATGTATTTTCTAAACATTCGTGCGATAAGGCAACGGACTCTGCATTCTTGCGGTTCAAAAGCGAACGAGCGTTCTCATTACTTCAGATTATGCTCTACCTCACAGAAAGACTTTCATGAAATCCTAAAAGGTTTTGCGAGATAATTCCAAAGAAAAACAGGTTTAGTTTCATTAAAACGAAGCTTTTAGAGGATTCCAAGAACAAAGCTAGCATGCTGATCCTTAAATGCGTTTCGGAAGAATCGATACTCTGCCATTTGAATCTTATTAAATGGCAAACAAGTTTTCCTTTTCTTGAAGACAATGCGAGGATTACTGTCAGGGAATTGTATTCCAGAATAAGCTATTTATCTAAACTAATTGGTTTTATCAAAAACCTGGTATGTAACGTAATTTTTTTCTTCTGCTTTATACGCGTTTCCAGCCTGTACGAGGTTTTGTGCCTTTAAAACGATCCCTTAGACGTACAACTAAAGCTTTATCTTGGTGCCATTGGATGCATATGCGCATGCTCTAAGGGCATGTAGGATCCACCGTTTGGACTTGAGCAGTAATACGGAGGAGGTGGTGGTGGGGGCATGAAGGAAGGACTTGCAGTAGACATTGCCATGCTGTTGTTAATGACAGCATGAGAGGGGTACGTGGGCATGGGCCTTACGGAGTCGTGCGCCGGGCTCCAGATATTCCCACAGCTGGCGTACCTGCATGGTGATGGGCCCGCCTGTGAGGAATCTTTACTTACAGTTGGCGCTTTCGGCTTGGGTTTGGGTTTGGGTTCCCCTTTACTCTGTTGTCGAACTTTGGCGCGTCGGTTTTTAAACCACACCTGTTGAAAAAGGAAAATAAATAAATAAACATCCAGTGCCGTTAAATTGCAAATGGCGCCTACGAAACAAGCGGAATTCAATTGTTGTCTAGTGTTTTGTTTGTTTTGTATCCAGTGGCGATTTACATTGAGTAGCAATAGCATTTTGAAAAGATAAGAAGCAGAAAAATAACGAAAGCTCGATTAGAAGGTTTAGGTGGAAAAGTTAGTATTGCTACTCAAATAAAAGTCAATAAAGAAGTTCGGAGGTTTTGTGTTAGCATTACGATCAAGTTTGACGCAAGATCCTGCCTTTTTGCGTGAGCGTGACTTTCGGGAAAGGTCTTAAGTAGTTTTCTCTGGAGAGTTTCAGGTCCTAATAAATACAATATAAAAAGGAGACACATCATACAACAAATGCACGCAAAACGGAGGTCAAGCGCGCTGTCTCGACATACAAACAAACACGCGATCTCAAACCTCACGCACACTAAATAAAACAAGACATTCTTCTTTCACTAAATAAAACGTGGTCGATACATTGCTCCTTGTTGGCTTTTTATAAGCCTGCATTTCTCAAATAAAATATATTTAACCTTGGTATCATTACGTGAGAACAGATGAACTGTCTAAGGGCGTGAAATTCCTTGACACTACATTCGTGTGTACGTACACAATCCAGGCGTACACCCTTAAATGATAAATACTCGGAAGTTAAAATATTTTAATATAATTAGAATTTACACCTGATCAAATAGAGGCTGAGCAAACCACAACGAATTTTTTCAGTTTGAAATTGGAGGTTAAACGAGGGAATTAAATATTCTTTTCTGACGGTCTCACATTAAGCTAAATTTGTGGAAGTCTTTCTTTTCATTAATAAATGTGTATTTTGGACTGGCATATCGAAGTAAGGGATTGAAGCTGCGGGTCATGTTCGTTTCTAGTACTTGAATGTGCTCTGACTAAACAACTTTGGTGGCAATTTGCCCTTCCAAGTCTACCAACAAGAATAAATGAAGAAAAAAGAACAACTTTTCATTTGTCGTTAAAAAAGAAAGAAGGCTATCAAGATAATATTTCTGTTCTGAACCCCCCCTACTCCCCACACCCCCGCTCCCATTTTAGTTGTTTTGAAATCTGTCTTTACAAAGTTGCTTTTAGCGTTTGGGGTCTTTTTTAAAGTTTATAACACTTAATCAAGTGCGACTTGACAGACCACTTTTAAACCATTACACGTAATGGATAAAAAAAACATTTGAAAGCTCTAAAACCCACAACTGATCATATAGTTTAATTGGGCCGGAAAAAACAGAAAACATTCCTTCCTGGGTGCGAATTTGTGGTGAAGAAACATTTAATATCGCCTACTAAAAGTTTTCCTCCTCCTCTCGTTCAATCACGTACGTGTTTGTAATTGTTTTGAGTGAACAGAGAGAATTGCTTGTATTCGTACTTTGAAAAGTCTGAAGTTCAATTTTGAAAAAACAAAAAATATTTATTGTTAGTAACAATTGTTCATGCTTTGAAAACACATGAAACTAGTTAAAACCTTGTCATTACGAGATCCTGATGAACCAGGACAATGTTTTCCGCTGTGAACACAGGTTTAAGACAGTTTATAAACGTCAAATGATTAACCAAAATAAAAGGAAAGTTTTGCGAGGAAAGAATTCAGGCGCATTCCATGCTTAATGCCTAAAGGGCAAACCCCAAACTTGGGAAACGCAATGAAAGTAGAAAGAGTGGATTAAACTCTTAGAAAAAGTACTTTGAACTGTCTCTTGTGTGTAGAATGAAAGGGGGAAAAGAAATGAGAACAGATTTGCGGTTATTTCATGCAAATGTTCTGCAGCGTTTTCTTCTCGAAGTGCTTTCTTATCGAACTTTAGACACAATCGGCCCCGCCTTGTTAAGTGAGACTTCTTTCAGAATAAACTTCGATAAGATTCTCAGTTCAGTTCAGTCATTTGTAAAAGAACACGGAAGATAAACATTCCCTATTATTCCTATGGTGGTCAGTTTTCAAACATTCCATTGTAGAAAAAGATGACACGGTTTGGGTGCCCCCGATTAGCGCATCACTTGACCAATAAATTTTCTGTCATCTCAGTTCTTCACTCAAGCATTTATATTCCAAGTCGTGCAGTTGTTCACTGATTCTCCACTCCGAGAAAAAAAATAACAATACACTGAATTACCTGTACTCTTGATTCTGGTAGGTTGATTTTCATTGCAACTTCCTCTCTCATAAAGATATCAGGGTACTTTGTCTTGGAGAACAGTTCCTCCAAAATTTCAAGCTGAGCTTTTGTAAATGTAGTCCTCTCTCTCCTTTGTTTTCTTGGATAACCTGAAAGATTGATTTCCATCAACTCAAAAAAATGCCTGAATCGTTTAATTGCCGCTTAAACTAGATCCAGCTCAGCATTTAAAGGCTGGAATACGTTTATCCTCTAAAAACAATGAAATCTTTATTACAGCAATAAAGTTCGACTTTAGGATTTGCCCTCAGAGCAAACGAGTTTACATGTTGGTTACACAGTCGTTTTGGCTTTATTCAGATGTATTTATGAAAGTCATTTGTCTTTATCAAACTTTGTTCAAGAGATTTTCTTTGTGGTTGAAATTACGTACAATCTGTGTGGGGAATTGAGCCAACCCCTTTTTTGCCAAAGGAGTTTAACTTGATGTAATTTGAAGAGCAACGATACAAACTGAGCTATTTCCAAAGCAGGAAAAAACGAGTTTATTTATTTGCGACGATGTAGCGAATTTTGGCAAAAATTCCTAAGGTATTTGAAACCGTGTCATTGTGGTCTTTTTAACATGTTTTATGTTGTTTTATCGTCTCAATGGGACGATATTTCCGTTCTCGTGAAGTTAAAGTAAATTTATTATTTAAACTCCCAAGCAATCATTCAAAGAAAGCGCACTTAAAGAAATAACATCATCTACTTTCGAGCATTTCAAAACACAAAGTTGCAAATCAGTTTGGCTGTTTTTCGAGTGGAAAAATGCTTCACCTTCCCCTATTGAAAGTTGTTCTCACAGAACACATTTTCGTTTGAAAATCGGCCCAGCTTAAATAGTTTTTGCGCCCGCAAATCCTTCGGGAGCGAAAAAATCTCGTCCTGTCCTTCCTGAACAAGATAAGGTATGATTTTAGCCAACTCAACAGGAATCAAACTTGATGACTAGAATTACAACACGGAAATTTCCTATGGTAGATAAATGAAACAGATGCCATAGTGTCTCACTTAATAAAACTACTATCCCAAACTTATTAAGAGGAGGGAATCAATTTATAACTAATCATTCCTTGATAGGAGGATTGAGAAAGGTTTTTTTATATGCTCTTGTTTTATCTTGGAGCTTGTTACAAGTTCTAAGCCCACACATCTGGGAGGTCTCGCCAAACTAAATAACATCCTGAAATAGCACGAGTAAAATAATCGATCGATCGAATAGTGCTCACAAAAAATATGCCAAAACAACCAAACAAGGCTCATAGTGAGGAGACCAGTGGTGTGCCAGTCTTAGATAAGTATTATATTCGATTAAGGCTTTACTTAGAGGGCTTTTTGGTTCTGTGGAGACCAAGACAAGACCATTGTTCCCATTTCGCGTTTAAAAATAAAGGAGGCCTACCATACGGCGGAGCGACCATTGGAGAAAACATGTCCGCGGTTCGCGGAGGCATGTTTAGACCGTTGACTGGATACGGTGGGTAATGATTCAGAAAACCCGCCATCTTGGATTCCTGGTGTAAGTTATGGAGTGCTTTGTATGCCGTGTGCTGCGGATGCAAATGAAAACACGAAATGATCAGCTCGCGGCTTAGACGCACGACCTTCTTCGCCAATTTGGCCCCTTCGGGACCCCCTGCAGATCATACCTGTCAAAGATATTAATACAGAAAGACGGGACAGAAAATCCGCTTGATAAAGCACTCTTCCTGAAATTCAACGTAACAAAAACAAGCCTGTCAAAGCTACACCCAGCCGGATTATTGTTCCCGGGTCAGAGAAAATATTCACGCGATTAGGTGGGCAAACTCAGGAGAGCTCAGAAACCGCCGTTCCAAGCCAATCAGTGCAGCGAGCGAGGCTGAATGCTTTTATTGAGCTCAAATCAAACGTAGGATAATTGTTCCTTTTTTTCCAATTTGGGACAATGTGGGAGGTCGTTAGTTTTGCAATGGTAGCCAAAAAGGAAGCCGCATGATCGTAAATGAAAAATACAAAGTCAGTCAATTAAAGCTGACTCTTTGTCACGAGAATTAAAAACATGCATATCTTCGCGCGAGAAGCTACTTCGCGGTCATTCTTATGACAATCGGAAACATTAGGCGTAATATTTCCTTTCTGTGCGCAATTTAAAGAACAGTCATGAACGATCGATATTCATCGTGAGAGAATCCTTGTGAAAAAAAAGTAAAAATTCAATCAATAAGTAAGGTAAAAATGCAAAATCCTCAAAAGAAAAGAACAAAATCTGCAAAGGTAATGAAAGAGACGCAGTTTCATTTATGTTGTTAATTATCGTCACCTCAAGAAGTCTTCAAGGTAATTAATGATCATGCCTCATATTCCGGGGAATATGCTGGAAGTAAGGAGCATTACTCAATATTCTAGGACTGTGTTGAACAAGAAGAAAGAAAGATGTGAAAGCTGTAACTCGATCTCGACATGATGGGCCACTTCAACCCTCCTCAGGCCAGTTTAGTTCTTATCTCATCAGCAACAAGGCGTAAATTGCTCTGGGTGTCTTGTCTGTGTCTAGTTAACCTAACTAGTGTCGACAACATTTCATTTACAATCACATCATCACTGCCTTACGAAGGAATTCTGTCAAAACCGAACTATACGAGCAACAGTTTCTAAATTATTATTATTTTACTTCTTATGCTAAATGGAAAGGGAAGACTTGATTCCAATTAAAACAGTAGTTTTGTCCAAAAAAATTTATTGTAACCCTTTTTTTGAGTACGCTTTTATACATTTCCGTTGTGGAATTTCTGAAGTCTGAACATATCATTTAAGTTGAAAAGTACCGGCATCTATAAGTACAAGGTCAGTTAAAAATCACTGATCTTCTTGCCCGGTTTTGTTGCCGTTGAAATCAATAATCCTTTTCAACGAAATTTAAAAAGTTTTCGATGGCTTGTTGGCAAAATACTTCTGTTGTCGTAACTTGGGAAGGTGCCAGTCTGTCTTAAACTCTAAAGGAATTCTAGCTTCTACCAGGGATTTAAGGTTGATATCGGGACATTCTATGATCAATCTATCTGTCAAACGATCCCTAACCTTCATGACTTGAGAGACAAATGAAGACAAATCGGTGAAAAAGCTTTAGAGAGGATTAAATCTCCATTTTTTGTACTTTATGCCCCTTCGCAAGTCGTTTTACAAAACTAATAATTAATATTGAAAGGCCGTAATCCTAAATTTCGCCAGAAACACGTGTGAAGAACGGGTTTACAAGATTAATTAAACGGTAAACCTCCTTACCAAGGAGAATGGAAAAGGAGAGAACCAACGGATATATTTTCGCGCCCCAGTGACCGGTGACTCGTGTCGTTAATTTACGAAAGGAAACCACAGACCTGTAGATATTGAAAGATCGCGATTGATAGCCTGGGATTTTGATGAGTGAGTCTATAGGTAATGAGAGAATGTTGAGAATAGGACATAAAGTATTACTTACAAACTCAAAAGCTTGCGTTTCCTTGAAGAAACAATTCAGAGAACTTTTTGAGAAGAAGGAACGCGGAGAGGGAAGGCAAGCGTTGTAGGTTTGATGCGATGAAAAAGGCATTTCTTTTTCTTTGATCTCCTTCGATAGAAATTTCTAGTCATGTAAAACGCCAGGAGCTTCCTGGATGAAGACGTATCTAGGGACTCTTTATGGAAGTTAAGTTTCGAGAGTTGCACCTTTAATTTAATTCTTGAGGAAAAAACGGATGTCCCATAGATTCGCACGCTCTAATCCACTGACAGCCTAGTTTAAGGCTGGCTTAACTCAAATTGTTTGACGATGGTATATTGCCTGAAATGACACAACTGAGAATTGGCGGCCTTGCGTAAAGGTTAATTTTGAAAGACGCACAAGGAGTTATGATCCTTTTATTCGTCCGTTGTATTTGCAATTGCACACAATAGAAGCCCAAAGAAATGATAAATATCTCCTCTTACGTCACAGAAGAACGAATAATTCATCGCTTGCCCAAATTCAAAGGATTTTCAATTAAAACCAAACGCGGACTAATTATCGTTTTAATTTTAAGACTGTTAGATTTGGTCTTGCCTTTAAGCTCAAGATATTGGAAACATGGGAACAGAATGCGATACACCACCCTTTGTAAACAAAGTGGGTTGCATTTTAAATAGCAAAACCAGCCCTGGAAAAGCTGCATATTAAAAATGGCTGGAAATCTAGCTTCAAACTATGATAGCGAAATGTTTTAGATATAAAAATCACTGTTACCAAGAACGAGAAGAAAACCAGCTCAACTTGTTACATAGAAGGTCAAAGTTAAATTTTGCTTATCGACTTTGTATCAGCTGACCCAATCATAAAAGTATACTGACTCTACTAATAACAATTATTTTTTTTCTTTGAATTCTTCGGTACTTTTTTCGCATGAATCATACCCAAGTCTTTTTTTTTTATTTGGTTCGGAAAGGTCTTTAATAAAGAAATTCGTCTTTGAATACCCTTTGTTAAATCTATTCGCTTTTGTTAACTAATTAAGGAAAGAGTTCCTCAAAAACGCTTTTACAGCTAAGGAAGCTTAAGCTTCTCACAGATCACCCTTACAGATTAATAAAAATTTTGATGAAAGGTTTCTATTTGTCCCTTTCACTTGTGTGAGAGGCACATCACTGTTGGACAAAACAACTCAAACAAATCGTTCAATAAAACACATTTTACTTTCAAGTTTAACAAAAAAAGTGTGTTTTATTAAAAGAAAGCGCAATAAAACATGCTTGATAACACGCGCATAAAGTGGATTTGTCTTGAAATGAAAAGGAAATATTTGAGAATGAAATATTTTTACGCGCAAAGATAAAATATCCTCGATCAAATGTGAAAACTTAACAATAAAGCGTATCGGAAACACTGAAGTTTCGAGAGTTTCAGAAGATAAAACACAAAAGACAAATAGAAAACTTCTCAGGGACTGCAAATCTGAACACGGAATGCCACTTCCTGCTTTATTACCGTGAACGAAAACAACTGCAACAGAAACCGCTATGCGATTTTTTCTCGCAATCGCGAAAACCACAACCTTCTAGAAAACGTGAACCTTACTTTTCCCTCTTTAGAAAACTGTGAGAAAAAATGCTTGCACGCGTGTTTGTCTTGCTGGCCGAGTTTCCGGATTAAGAGGTCTTCGATCTGTGGTTTTTCAATCAATTTCACGCACATAGAGCGAACTGAAATCTAAGAAAACTCATGGCGATGCTTGACGGGAGCGCTGACAAAAAGAAAACAAAGTTTCGTTTGATAAGCTTCCGCTGAAAACCGCTTCGTAAGGGGGCAATGCTAAAAATTCCTGGTGGAAATCAAACATTACTTCAAAACACCCTCCCTCCTGCTGAGATGACTAAATAGTTTCCTTCTCTGCTGCCTCTTTGTTTATCCTGTGCTAAAAAAAAAATATGGTTGGATCACACATTTGCCAGTCTCTTTTTATGAGCAGGAAGAGCCGAATCAAAACGAAATTTAAACAGCGGGTTTGTTATTTAACATCAAGTCTATGAGTTCGTGATCGATAATCGGTCTTATATAAACAGTACTTAAATCTATGTTTTCCGTGCAACACGCGCGATTGGGTCAATCGATAGAAGGGATGAAAACGTCTTTCGTTGGGCTAAGACTATTTGCCCGTGATAGGCTGCACTCGAGAGACGTTATGTAGCAAATAATGATCAATGTTTTTTCAGATGCTTCAAAATTACCTCTTGTAAGCTTTGTATCATGTCGATCATGCTGCCAAAATGAAGTGAAAGTAAACACAACTCTTACACTTGAGATGGCACTCACAATTAAACATAAAACTGTAAAAATACACAATCCCAACACAAATATTGATCTAGAAACATGGTAACTTTCCCTCACATTATTCCTTGTACAAGTATAACAGGAAAGATAAAAACAGACGAGCCTGGAAAAGGTCACCTTTAACTCTCTGCTAATCGTTATTGGGTGTCTGTCTGTTACGAGCCGCGAAAATGACTACCATCTACGTGAGCTTAAGCGTGTTCGCCAGTTTTGTAGCGCTTAGCTGTGTGTTATTTTCTAAGAGCATATACTAAGAGTAAATGCTGCTAGGACTCTGATTATAACCTCTACACATTAGAAGCCTGTGCGGATGGAAACACCTTGTGGGATTTCGCGAATCCCTTATTATCGGAATAATTGGTTTTTGAAAGTGTTTGGTGATCTTTCTTTCACCTCGATGGATTATTTCGTTTCTATCCTATTACTGAAGAGCCTAAAGGAATAGCTGGCTTTCATACACGACAGTTTATGAAGGGAATGTTTTCTTATTAGTGTGTGCATCGCGATTTCCCTATCATACCACAGATTGGCAGAAACAAAGAGTTTATTGTTAAGAATTTTTCTTAAGGTCCTTGAACTGAGGCGGTGTTAGCTCAGCATGACGTGATGATATTGACTTCCACGTCGTGCAATAAGCTGCTGTAAATTGTCCAGAATTCCATGCTTGTCTAAGCGAAGAAGTCGTCCCTCCCACGAGCCGATAAACAGGCAGGTAAAATACGATTTAGCTAGACAATGCGCTCAGCGCTAAATCGCGATCGAAAAGTACTTAGCGCGCCCCTTGTAAGGAAGTGATTTCGTTCGATTTTCCGCTCTCGATGGCCGTCTCATATTGTTTTGTAGCGAACAGAAACCATTCAAGCGCGCAAATACAGACCTAGCACACAAAATGATGGTCTACTTGAGATATATCTCAAAATAAAACAAAGTTGTGCCACTGTTACTTAGTACGTTTAGCCGGGTTTGCTTTTCATGGAGCGGAGAGAACACAAGATGCGCTGATTATTGTAACTATCATGTCTACTTGCACTTTCGTCTCTGATGTTGATATCGTAGTCAAAGGCTTCCGATAGCTTTAGTGGCTTATTCTGTAACACTGGTTAATACAGTAATGAAAATGTATAAATAAGGCTGTCTTAAAAGAAGATTGCTTGTAGTATGTACATCGATAAATCTCGGAGGATCAGTGAAATTTTAGAAATCAAAATTGCTTCATGTCAGAAGAGAGGCCATAGTGTGAATGACGAATAATAATAACTTCAGTATAACTTACCAGCAATTAAGAGTTCAAATGCAGCTTCTTGGCGAGAAGGAGGATCTAATCACAAACTGGTTTGTGCTGTCGTGAGGATCAAGACTGTTTAAATCCTTGCGAGTTCTGGAATGAAAACAAAATCAATGGAGTGCAAGAAGGGAGCATGATTTAGCACAAAATGTATGCGGTATCCCGCAGGAAAAGGTTAATATAACATTAACATCGTTAGAGTCTCACGGCAAGAGACCTGTCTCATCCAGTTACCTCTTTACGCTAAGCCAACGAGTTAAGAAATTTGCACAGCTTTTTTACTCCTTTTCAGTCTGTTCCTCTCGAATGCATCGCAGTTTACATGTTTCTCTTTAAGTCTTATAATTGCCTTTATCCCTGTATATTAAACTTAGAAGGCCATGAGGAGATAGAGTTTTGTTATTTTAATCAAAAGAGGCGGGGATCTTTTCCAGATGCTGCGGCCGAAAATTTTTGCCGCACTGTTCTAAAACCCTTCAAAAGGCAACTGTTATTAAAATCACGTTCAATAAATTCAAATTATTCAGAGTGTTTATTTCAACAGCATATTGTGAACGATCTCATCAACTCTAATTTGCACCACTTTAACGGTGTAATAAACTAAGAAGAGAATATTTTGCCAATTATTTCATTCTGTTCTATTTGCATTTAAAAGGAAAATTTCGAACGCATTCAACGTTCGCCAGACACTAACCTCTGAGAAAAAACTCTGAGCGTTCACAACGTAACAATACCATGGAGCGATACAATAGAACTAGTTTCAATGACTTTAATATACACTAGAAACGAATATATCCTTTTACTTGTGACCAATTCTAAAATGTATTCATCGCTGTCAAGACAAAAGCTTGCATCAGTTTAAGTTTGTCAGTGGCCTTTCATGATTCCGACTATCGGAGGAAGGCAAGTTATTAGTCGTAATTAACTAGATCGATTTCAGTGCGTGAAAGAGGACATCATATAAAACGTTTGTCTCTCCACAGGTAATGATCCAACCATCAATGGTAAATTTCAATATTTATATTTGCAGCTATATCATGTTTAAATACTGGATACCGCGCACCTATTTGATTTCTGATTTCTGTTAATTTTTAAATTGGCATTCGTGGCTTCATTTCACAGTTATGTAATTCACTCAGCCAAATCCACCTCATTTTTTTTCGATTTTAGTTGATGGAGAAAATGTGTATCCTCTACCCACGAATTCCTTTGAACACACTAATTCTACGGCGTTGTTGTAAGAGTTCTTTTCACCGAAGCAAATTCGTATAAACACTATTCACTTGTTGTGCATATTACTTGTGAGGACGCCATCGATTTTGAAATGACATTGTTTTGAAATTTCGGGCAATAAAAAGTGACAGTTAGGTCATAAAAAAAGAAGTGAAATCGGAGGGATTAAGATCTGCTCTCCGCGCGAATTGTACCACAAAGAGTTTCCCCGGAAATTAAATCAAATCCGAATTTTATTAGTTCTCGCATCATTTGCTCTCTTCGATTCTTAACGATGACAAACAGAACCCCAGTTAACACAATGTCTTACATTCAAGCAACAATCTTAAACTGGAGCACAAGGTGCTTCTTAATGATCGGCCCATCGAATATATATAACAAAAACAAAGTCAAGACAATTCATATAGTTTGTGAATCCAATAAATTTGTTTTTGTAAACATGATCATTTTGATAAAAGCAGAAATAAGTTGTCCAATACCTCTCCCTACAAATATTCTCAGTGTAACGGTTTACTACCACTTTGCATAGATATTAAACTTGTACACAAGAAGGATCTTCTGGCAAATCCCTTCCTACAGGCCGGTAAAAGAAAAGCGCCTTTCACCGGAAAAGAGCGAAGGATGAAACGTATAAATTGCAATCTAACAAAGATCGACAATTGTCAGAAATGGAAACTACTACACATCAATTAACCTTCGCTAATTTTGGCGATGGGCTGTCATCGCGGTAAATTTTCATAAACGGATCATCATCTTAAATCCTCGCCCGTGATAATTGCAGTGGTATTTTCAGAGGAGAAGAGTCGACCGCCTTTCGGAAGAGGAAAAAATTAGTTAGGTCTTTATTAGTTCTTCTGAGCGCGGTTTGCCATGCACCCTGTTAACCCATAACTTTTCTCTGGGTTTCATCAGAGCTCTTAGTGACGCGCCTGAAGATAAAAAACTCCATAATACCGTGACTTGTTAAATTGTAGACTTACCTATATATTCCAACTATTTACAGTTTTCTGTTGACTGCCAGTGAGTTACATGTAAACAGAATATTTTGTTTAACAAGATGGTTAATGAAAGCTTGAAACACCCACCAGTCAATACTACACAGTTGTCATCGATGTAAAAGTGTCTTGAATATTTGCCTTGCTCTCGTGATACGTAATTTATATTCCAGCATTTACGGACTTGAGGTCAATAACAATACCACACCAATACTCTGTAAATAGACATGCTTTTCCGTGGGACACGCAAGGACATTTCTGGAAAGTTTTCATTTTTTGGACAGATGAAAGCTCAATCTATCATATGTCGACTAAAAGAGGTCTATTTCGATAATTTTGGATTTAATCCAAGCTAGAGTGGGTGAAAAGACAGTAGTTTGGTGATAGAAACCGCGACATAAACGTGTGCTCCAAGGCGAATGACTTTCCCCAAGGTTCCGGCTTAAGAGGTAAAGGATTAAAACATTTCTCTGGGTTGAATTACATGAGGCATATCATACTTGAGAGATCACAAGACCCAAGACTCGAGGCGACTCAAATTAATATCATCGAACGCGTGAACAAAATGATACAGTGGGAGTTCAAACTTAGTCTTCTTAACTTGTAATAATGTTTCGGTTTCTTGCTAACGTATTGATGTGCAGAAGATCAATTTGTCGTATGTTCATGTCTTCTTTATTAGCCAGCTAGCTGGGAGGGGTCGTTCTAAAACTCCACTTGAGACATGTCCAACCCTTAAAGCTGTCATTTTCAAATTTTTTGATTTAGTTGTTAAAATGATTTATTTTGAATCACGCCTAAAAGTGGGTTACAAGTTTCAAAACGTTATCAGTGCTGTTTAAAAGAAATCGCATGTCAAATCCCATCAACTGCGCACAATGTGTATGCCACCCTTTAAGTACTTGAGGATTATTTAAGGCTTACAGACACGATAAACCCTCTTTCGAAGTAATACTTATGCTGTGAGCACCGTCATTGCGTGTTTGCCAGAAGATTTTTTTAAGAAAGCCTTAAAGGACACGAGAAACGAGATTAGTCTCCCTGATTCCATTTAGCTCGTGACTCTCTGAGCTCTTAACTTTTCTTACAAATGTAAACATATTTTTTTACGTATCTTTGTAAATGTAGAATATCTGCCTGATATGGGATTTGTTTAACAACACGCACTAAAACATGATATTTTTTTGGCACTTCGCGTAATTTTTCAGTTGTTTAGTCTTAAACCCTTGAAATACTATAAATCTTAAAAAATCAGCCAATTTTGTGGATATGTTTCTTTTGTAAATGTTCATAAAAAACACCAAAAGAAGATAGAACTACCCGGCAGTTTTTATTTGAATGATCCAGCGCGTTGAGAACTTACGGTATAATGTAGAACCTGTAACCCACTTCGTTTACGATTTCAGAAACCTACGCCGTTCGAGAGGCCGAGAGAAAAGACCGTGGTTGAGATTAAGTTTATCAAAACACACTCATATGTTGATCATGCACTCCCTAAGGAAAAAGTTTTTTTTCAAATGGAAAGAACAGCCATAGTGTTTTACTTTGTATATAATGGATTTCGTTGTTTTACTTCCCTAAGGATCAAGAATGCCCTCTCTTTTTTCTCCTTTTATTTCCATTTACAACATTTTAGTATTACACTCGCGGATCCCGATTTAAGTAAGATCCGGCATTTTTCAACGCCTTTGTCGCTTTGATTGTGCTAATTTTAGAGTTTCTGCCCTTGCAGTGTTTACAAATAATCCCTAAGTTGCGAAAGGGCGATAGATAGTGAAGTGTTTTTAGCTATTTCTAGAGCAATTTCCTGGCTTAACTTTTATAGTAAGCCGTTCTTGTTATCAGCGGTAGAGAGGAAACAGACTTCCCGATTGCTTAGCTTTGTGACTGCTTTTCAAAAATGCGCCGCATTAACAAAACTTGATAAAAATATCCATTTAGACATTAATTTGAGAAAGGTCGCTTAAAGAAGAAATTGGAATTATCCATAGTCAAATAACGGTCTGGTTGGAAAATATCTCCTTTTTGCAAGCAAATGTTTCCATTTTTTGAGTTGATATTTGCGTATTTTGTCCATCCTTAAAAAAAAACTAAAAGTCTGTAAGAGAGGTAGTCTGGTATTGTATACCTTTTGCATCCAATAGCTTCACTTGGTTTCACAGAGCCAAACAAAATGCTATTAGGAGGTCGAGAAGCTTTCTTTGTTGCTATAACTAGCACGTGGGTAAAATTTGAATGCGAAAAGATTCTTAAGTCTTTCTGTGAGGTACGCACTTCAGATTTTTCCACGAGATAGATTTGAGGAACATCAACATTTTATATAAGAGAAAAAGGTAAAAGGTCTCATGTTTGAAGGAGCGTGCCATACCTCGATAGCACTTAACGCGCACGCGGAGCATGCAGAAATCTGTCTTCCAATCTATACAAAGTACTCATTTGAAATGTGAAAATAAAATTAAAAAAACGTGCTGTAATGAACGTCAAGTGGTTGTTTCTGAGAGAAGAACAAGCAAGCAACACGTGCAGAGATCTACACCAAGAGATCAAGTTTAAATACGGACGTGCTCAGAAGCTCAGTCTTAAAGCATGTCTGAAATTCTCAGATTGAAATCGTTAATCGAAATTGGGAGCAAGTAACTTTTCAAAACTAGATATTCTACAGTTTGAAATGAACGTGACCAACACAGTTTGAACATTGCCCTTCGTGTGGCAGTCGCACCTGACCATCAATTCAGCTCAGGTTTCTTTCCTCAGTTACTGACCAAAGAGACTCAAAATTTTCACCCGTGTTGTGTTTAGTGTTTATTCATAGATAACGTGATATACCAAAGGTAAATAATCCAGGGAACACCTTAAGCTTCAATGCAGTAAAGAACAAGAGTGTTGAAAACTTGACATTTTGAAAAGAAAGAGATGTCTTTCTGAACGATCAGCTAAGAGAATCTTTATGTCAAAATTCAATCTCCTTTGAATAAGGACACGTGTTTAGTGACTTAAGTCAAGAAGGAAATCAGCATTGTTTCGATTGTTGAGTGATTCATAACTTTTCCAAAAAAAAATATAACCGGAGGGTCGGCCTTTCAATAGTTCAACTGTCTGGTTATTACTCTCTGTCCAAGAAATCACACAGAAGATAAATGAAAGAAATTAATAATTGTTTAAATGCCCGTCCTAAAGTTATTGGTTCATTTTTTTTATTCAAACCTTCGTGTTAAGGTTCCTGCAGGGTTGATAGTACGCAGGTTTATATTGCTTTGATGAAAGTTTATTCAATCGACGCGACAAGAAACTTGCTGTGGCTCTAAAGATTTTCACAGCCTTGAGTATCGCAAGCTGGGACTGTAGATGTTTGCATCATAAGAAAACAGCTAAAGAAGAGATTAGTTTAATAGTAGAGCGCCTCGTCCCATGACTCAATATTGAAAAAAAAAAAACAGTTGTTACCTTTCGTCTGAAGTCTCCTGGGTCTTTGAATGCGACCTCTTGGAATCCTAACTTCGTCTGTTAATTAAGTATTATGATTTCAATTTATCAGTTAAAAATGCTCAACATGCCAAATGCTCGATTTGTAAATTTATGCAACAAGGATTTTAACACTTCCTTATCGGAAAGCTGTGAAATATTTGTAATAAATTAACCCTTTAGGCAGCCCGAATCGTCTAGCCAATCTTTATTCTATAAACTCGTCAGATTATTGAGAAAAGGCTGGCTAATGATCCACTAGGGCCAAGTTCAGCCGATGAAAAAAATCAGCCCATCAGTCTGAAGACATTTTGTTTCTCGAATAGCTTGATTTCTCAACTTTTGTAAATGGAGATGATTTTATAAAATATAGAACGCGAAAAGAAGTAAAAAATTGTGTAAAATAACGAGATCCTTTGTTGACGAACATGTACCCAAAACAGCGAATATGAATGACGAAACTCCAAATAGTTTTCGTATATGGCAAAAATTTCAAAGGAAAATCAACTTTAGATATAATCTCGTTTTCGAATTATTTCAGAAAGTGGGAATGTACTCATTGTTTGAGTTTCTTAGGTTGGGAAATCTACGAATGTCTATAAACTTTTTTGAAAATGAAATGACAATCTTTTTAAGATGTTAGTAAAAAAAAAATCATTGTTTCCGATATCTAACACAAGAAATGAATATTAAACAGAAAGGAGAGAATATTTTTCATGGCAATCCCTCTTATCAAGTTGTAAAAGTTGTCTCTAATGTCCGAAGACCTGTTTAAAGCTCTCCCGACGTACGCTTGTTTACTTCACAAGCAGCTCAAAAAGTTGTAGGTAAGACCTTTTGACATAACCTTTGTTGAAAGACTATTGTGCGTGACGTTACTATAGAGCGAGCTCGGCGAATCTAGTTTTATACCGCGGGGGAAAAAATAGAAAATAAAACGGACCCTCTTGACTCAATGAATTATACAAGGTCCTTTTAAGTTCAAGATCGCCTTTAGAAAAAGGCTTAACGTTTCTAGATAGGGAGTCTTTACAAGAATTGGCTTCAAATTTGCATTACAAAGCCGGAGACAAGAGTAAAGTTGTTTAACTTCACACAATTCAACGCCCTTCAGTTGCACCTCAACATATCGTCTTTCTCGACAAAGTCTCTCGGTTATGTCGTGTTTGTCTAGCGTTTTTTTTTTATATTTGGAAGATTAGCGGAGTCGACAGTTTAGATCTACCGTGTCAAATGAATTACAACGGAAAAACTCAGAAAGTTTAGAAAGTGTTTGCCAAGGTAGTCCGGGTTTAATAAAAGTTTGCGAAAACAGTTGAGACTTTTTAGAAATGAACGTAGGCTGCACACTAACAAAGCTGGCCGACAATTATCCCAAGAATAAGTGATCTAGTGCACTATGTCGGAACTTTGAAACGTTCTTTGAAATGAAAATGAGACCGATTCTTCAAATACTTGGGCCAATTTGGAAAAGCTTGCCGCAAGCGTAAAGTAATGAATTTTTCATCAATGAAGTAAAGCTTCTGACGCGGTTAGAGGGCTTTGAATAGCAAGATAGACCGCCATAACATCGGAATATAAATTAAATTGCTTTGAATGAGTTACGAAAAGGAGAATTACCCATTTTTGACACATAAAGCACCTTAAAGGAGCTATCTAAGAAAAAAAGAAATTATTTTTCAAATTTTTGTCCTGTTATCACAAGATTCACTCGAGATGTTCCTCAAACTAGAGTCGTAAGGCCTTAATGTACGTATTTGTAGGATCTTGATCCTTGCGCCACAATGAACAGTGCAACAATTTCTTGTCTCGATTAACTTTCTAGCCTTCAACTCACTTACCCACCTGCAAGTCAGTCACTTGAAAATCAGAACATCATTTGGACACAAGAACTACACTAATTCGTGTCGTTTGCTCGCCGAAGTTGTTATGTACAA